AATACAAAAATAAATAGATAAATATAAATATATATATATATATAAATATATATATATATATATATAGAAACATGAAAATTGACCAATAAAAAAATATTAACAAAAATAATTACACTCAAACACCATGATTTTTATGCAAATCAATGTACATTTTTATGCAAATTATAACTAATCAAAAATTAATCACTAATAATAGAACTTGCCTGATGTACAACTTATAGTAAACATGGTGAAAATAATGCTTAAAATTAAAAAATACTGTACATGTATTTTTGACAAATTGTAAACATATTCATTAAATATTGAAATAGATAATAACAAATAAACACATCTCAGAAAAATAATAATATTTATATAAGTGAAACCAAACATGATTATCCGCAAGCTATTTTGGGGTTTTACAATTGGCATATTATCATGGCTTTTTCTTAAGTGACTATAAAACTTTGTATTTTTCTTGAAAAATGCAAATAAAGAAAAAAATGAAGATATATTGGTGCAATATTTTGCTAGTACATCTCATCTGCAACTTCTAAAGACCCCAGACTTCTAAATCCCAATGGGGAAAACCATGCTTTTCACTACAAAAGAAAAAAAAAATATTTGTCCTACTTATGTATAACTAATAGAGGTTTCACTCCATACAAATTTTTGTTTTTAATACATTGAGAGAAGTGTTTCCTATTGGGAAAAATCCAGAATCTCAGACTGGCAAAATGGTTTAGTTGGTGGAGCAATAGTAATCAAAGAGCCATGTGTTCAAATCATGACAGCAACAAAAATTACCTTTTTATTGGAATAATATCATAATTTATTCTATATCAACATATTTTACTCTAATACATTCTATGCACAGCAAATGCAGTCAAACTTTATTGGAAACTTAATAAATTATGTTTTATTGGAATCATGTCATAATTATTTGAATTACATATGTTTTAATGTACTTTAAATAAATAGCAGACACTGGAAAACAGTCAAAACTTTAATTTACAGTTTAATAAATCAATTTCATTGGAACCATATTGTAATTAGCTTAAGTCTAAATGCTAGTTGCACAATGTGAACAATAGTAATTTTAATGAATGTTTAATTCCTTCCGGATGTAATATCACTTGGGGCCCGTTCTAGCGAAAAAATATCCGTGCAATTTACCAGTTAATTCACCGGTACACACTTTCTAAAACCGCTCGGACACTAGTCTAATACCTTACCATCTGGATTATCCGCGACAATTTTGAACACCAAATTGCTGGGTATAATACCGTGTATGGAATGACCATGGAGCCGGAGGCGATGATAATTCAACCTAATTGTTTTTCCAAATGTTTTGTCTACAGCCCAGCGCGAAATTCAATAAGTTACGGCCCAGGCGTGGTTGCAGCTCTCCTTCGCCTCCTCACACATTCACGACGAAATCTAAATTTAGTAGCATACTATGCAATCGATTTGTAGATTTACCATTATTCGGAGGAATAAACTTGAATAAACTAGCCTACGTACAGATTTTAAAGCAGCCATTATAAGTTATTGAGCTACATTATCGTTCCACCGTTATAGTTATAGCTAGGAGGTATACCTCCTTGGTTATAGCAGCAGTAGCAAGTAAACAAAGAATGGGTTGTTGACCATGGGATAAGTTGAAATTTACTTCCGGAGTGGTTTCTTTACACGTATTTACCGTGAGCTAAAACTTGCTTGAACGGTCGACCACGCGCTGAATGCTCAGCGTGATTACCCGGTAAAATAAACGGAATACGGTTGGCGTTTTTTGCTCAAACGAGCCTTATACTTTGAAATATCAATTTGAGCGGATATCTGATAGAGATGATGATATGGAAAAACCATCATAAAACTCCATTTCATGTATTTTCTTAGAAGCGATTACAGACAGAAAACTTATTATTGATAGCTTGTGATTCTTACAAAGTTCTTATCATTAATTAGGAATTTAATGTATAGAACTTTAAAAGAGAATTCCAATACACATAAAACACAAAGAGGCAAAAAAGAGTAGAATGAGGCATTCCCTTATAGGAAGATATATACAGAGATACTGTACTAAAATGCAGACAGACACAAATGGCAGACAAACCCAGCTTTCAAACATGGACAGAGGTAGACAAACTAGTATATCACCGGACAGATACAGGAAAGTAGTAAACAGGCAGAAATAGAACACACTAGGTAAGTCGATAAATACATACACAGGTGAGCAGAAAGATATACAGAATGGGAAGATAAGACAGACACATACAGTACCTGTACAACTCCCCCTCCACCTTCTCACATGCAAAAATATAGGTAAACAGAGACAGGCAGACGAATACAACTATAGTAGGTGGCAGGCAGATACACAGATGCCAAAATTGTGTTTCCCTTAAGCCCCACCTCTTGGATACTAAGGTCCCACAAAATGACAGCAAAATCATATGCAAAACATGTGCATGCATTTGTGAGACATTACGTGTGCTTGAATGTATTTCTAGCTCTCTTCCCATTGGTCAATTGTGAAATTTAATCCACACATTTCGAAAAGGTCCATAATATAAGAATACATTTCCACAGTGGCGGAACAAGTGGGGGAAAGGTACAATTTGGAGGGGGGTTGGGCAAGGTCCCTGACAAGAGCAAAGTGGGCGTGGTCGGGTGTAAATTAAAATGTTCTTAAAGTTAGTCCGTGGGTGGAACCCAGAAAAAATATGACAACCTTGGAGTTTCAGAGTATTATTTAATTGCTTTTACATACAGATAGTCATATTTTTTTTTCTCCCTGATAAATTGTGGTTTTTCTTATATTTTTTGCATTTCCAAAATCTTTTTATAAAATCAACAGAAATAAATTGCTTAATCAAAAATAACCTTGATAATAGTAATAATGATAATTACAACTCAGAAACCTGGCACCTATATTCATTAATTAACAATTCATTTCTCTTCAACGTTCAATACTGCCAAGAACTCATTTGAATTAACAGGATGTAAATTGTCACATGGGTACCGTACTTAAAAGAGAATCAGACAATGATTATACTCTTTGGGTTATCATTTCTAAGAAGCTTGGACAAGTTACACTATCATGTGGAACCAATGATGAACAATTCTAAATAAATGTTTTGATAATCTAATTTCTTTATGCTGCTTGTAGAGTGAAGTTTGTTTTGAGAAAACACTCTTTTCCCAAAGACTGAAAATCAATTGAGGTACTTTCATAGTAAAACATTTGTAATTCAGAGAAAATATTTATAGGATCCGCCATGTTCTTTAGATTACCCTTAAATTTACTAGTAACGATTTTCATACTAAAACGTTTGTAAACATTTTATTTCCATAAAGTTATACCATAAAATGAAGACAAAAATATTTGTTTCATTGAACCCCCCAAAAAAAAAAAAAAAAAAAAAAAAAAAAAAAAATCTATTCCTCTTTAGAATGTTCCTTTAAAAAAAAAAAAAAAAAAAATTATTATTGCACTACAAAAATCCTGCAGAAATACACACATCCTCAAAAGATTCAGAGGCATGCATGTAAAGCTTGGTTTCCATAGAATCGCTACACAGTTGTTACAAAGTGTTCACTGCAATCCTTGCACTGCGCGGCTGTCCCGCGACTTAATCAGGAACGCTTCCTGATTCAAGTGACCAATCAGCGTTGCCAAAGGAGTCGGCGATAGCTTGTAGCAACTTTATGAAAACCGGGCTTAAAAGGTAAGGCCCTGTTCAGACTATCAAATTTTCATTGACAAAAAAAAAAAAAAAATGTGACATGCTTAAATAATTATGATCAAGATGACATCACATCATGATCATATATAAGCACATTGTGACTATATGAGGCATGTTGTGATAAAATGGCTAAGTTGCAGCAAAAATTAAAATTAAAATTCAAGTTATTGGTATTTTCAAATACCTGAGTATGTAACCTTTAAAATGAGGGGTCATTCATTGAAATTGGACATTTCAAGCCTAAGTTATTGGAAAGTGAAAGTACAGTACTCTTAGAACCAAGATAAACATGATTTTGAGTAATTGCCTTTCAAAGTCATTTGTGCATACAATTTTTAATAGAATGAACTATCAAAATAACATTAAATAAACAATTTTGAAAATAATACTTTGGTACATGATTAATAACACAATAAACTGTTGATCTAAAGTGAAAAACGAATTTGGATTTTTAGGCAATTTTTTCAGCTCCCATATTTTATAGCTCATTTACTCAATACTGGCCTGTCCGACAACTTAATCATTTCGCCATGACATGCCTCATATACGAGGCGAGTTGAGAGTTCTCTCTACATTGGTGGGATGGGAAGAGTATATATGTGCATGTTACAATAGCAAGACTGACACTCTGCAAAGTAGTACATTTTCCCCAACTATTTTTTTAATCCAGTGAAATATATTTCTTTATACCCTTTGTCAAAAGATGCTACAAATTATATTATAATAATCATTTTTTAGAAATAGGATTTTGAGTTTATTATTAAGCATGCTTATTCATGTGTGTGTAAACCTAAAATAGATACAACTGTTTGTGCGTAATAGCCACTATTTTTTGTTTTTTAACCTGGATAAGAAACACGTTCCTTTTTTTAAATTTTTTTATTGTGGCTTAACCTGAAATTAATTAAGAACGAAATAAACATACTACTAAAATATTTATCATTAAAACCACAGAAAAGATAAGTTATAAGACACCCAGCACCTGTAAATAAAACTTGATAAGTATAAAAAGGTTTAATACTACGATAAACAAGTACGCCAAACACACATATGAATTAGAATGGCAAGATATAACCATAAGACTTTAGTACACATATTACCACTGCTTCAACAAGACAACAACAACAAAAAAACGCACACACGAACATACACTGATATCACTACAACTAATCCTTTAAATGCAAAATAAAGAAGGGAAAATGTGATGGGGTGCAAATTGGGGGTCACAGCAGAGCGACCCGACATCCACCTACCTATAGCGGAATCTGGGTCCAAGGGGCCCTTGCTCAAACATAGGCTCTCCTGATACCTCTCTGAAAAAGGTGGGCACTGATTGGTCAAGTATCAGATATTTTTGAAGTTCTATCAATTTGTTATATTATTTTATACATTGTATTACTGATATTGTAAACATTGTTGACAAAATCCAAGCATTTGAAATGTGGTTGTATAAGAGAAAGACAAACATAACTTGGGCTGTCAGAACTACGAATGAAGAAGTGGTGGTTACTTTAGCAATAGAGAATTGCTTTAATTCATGAAAAAAAAAGTAAAATCTAATTATATGAGTAGAAAAATGGAAAACCATATTTTGAGACAATGTTTTTTTTTTGCCAGGTATTAGTAAACCTTAGAATTTGGAAGACACATCTCATTTTTTTTTATATGTTGTGTAATAAAAAGATATATTTATTACTTCTTTCAAAATCTATGAAATCTAAGTTGGTGTAATTTTCTATACACATGTTCTGCATACGTTTTCAATATATGTGTACTTAAAAATCACAGTTATATAATGTGTGTTAATCACACTATATAACAAGAAACTGTTTCTGGTATAAATATGTATGAAAAAAAAGCTAAAAACGTTTATAAAAGCAAACAATAAACAATGAAAGAAAAAATGAGTAAAGAAAAAGAAAAAAATGAAGAGTCGTTAATTTGTTTATTTTTTGGTTTATTGTCCTTGAAATGTTCGAAGGTTGATAAATGTTTAAAAGATAGGATAGAAAAATACATTTGGGAAGGAAGATGATGATGATTATGATAATTACGGTAATAATATTATTAATAATGAAAGGGATTTTGGTACCATATTCAAGTAATATTGGGAACCAACCAAACATAATATTATTAATAATGAAGGGATTTTGGTACAGTATTCAAGTAATATTGGGAACCAACCAAACATAATATTATTAATAATGAAGGGATTTTGGTACTCAAGTAATATTGGGAACCAACCAAACATAATATTATTAATAATGAAGGGATTTTGGTACAGTATTCAAGTAATATTGGGAACCAAACAAACATAACATATCTTAAATGCTTTCATGAATATCACATAAATGCTAAACTAATATAAAATCTAAGTAACAAATAAGGAAAACAACTACCTCACTATAAAGTTAATAACATAAAATTCTAAATATTACTTAAATATAAATTCAAGTAAAATAGAAAAAGGTTGAGTGTCAGTCATCAATGATGTTTGTGGATATAATTTATGGATATTATTAAATTAAAAATATAATATAAAATAAATTTTTCTTTCTTGTTACTAGAATTTATAAGCTAAGGAATGGAGGTCGGATTAAAAGCAAAGACGGTGTGCGTAAAAGAAATAATCTATCGCTATCACCATATTTGGCATCTGGCGCGTGGGTAAATAGACACATTTGATTCTCAGAATTTGTCACACCATAAAGGCTCTTATTAAATTTAATCTTGTAAAGAATCAAGCAATCCATTTCTCTCGCAATACCACTCTCTACTTATCTCTGTAATTATTCCTCTGATATGTTCTTTCCATATAAAACCTATAAAATTACCACAATGCATGTTAATCTCAAATCCTACTTATTCTTAATTAACCAATTAGTGTTAATTAGATGCAAATATTAACGTACCTGTACCTGAATTTTGAGCCTAGTTGAAACATGACACGTTTCTTTTGTGTGGGCTGCGGTTCCGCCAGCCTAAAAAACGTGTGGTGTTCCACACACGATTTCCAAAGGTTCTTGCAACTACGGTACGATCCCAGATTAAATCCAATTAATGAGTCACGGGTTTCTCCCTATCAGCAAATAAGGAAACAAATAAAGTTTAACGAACCAATCAAAATTGTTGAAATACTTTACAAATTTAAAATGCTACTACAAAGAACATGCATAGGTTGAAATGTGTACCACTTTCAACTACCATACCATATAACTATTTTTCTCCAGGTCAAAGTTTAATGTACTGATGTTAAACTATTCTACTGAATTCATAAAGTATCCAGGCTGCTTAAACCATTAAAAGGATAACAATTAATTATCCAAACCACTTGGCACATCAATAAAAATTAAAGTATGGTAATCGGATATTAAACTTCCGTCTAAATTTGAATGAACTATGTATAACTAGGAAAAGCGCTTACACAATTATTATGGCAGCATGGTATGTAGGTTAAATAATAAATAAATTTCACAAGCGGAACTGGTGTTTATGCAGAGGTAAGGTAATTTCCCTCTCTGTAAATTCAATTTCAAAGATATTAAACTATGTTTTCAGGATTATCTGTTTTTCGAGTTGAGCTCAAGGAGAGAATTATTTGCTGAAACGTATATGAAATAAGTACTGAAATCATTCATGTACTGCTTCACCATGTTGATAGATACTGAAAGACAGACATATGCTGATATACACTACTGTAGCTGACAAGAAACACATAATAAATGTGTTTGTCAGAAGAATACTACGATAACATTTGAATTATTTTTTGTCATAATTCAATTTTAGAATGTAAACATTTTGATATAATTGCTACAATTTAAACATATCATCACACTGTTAGTTTTAATGTGCGTGAGATTAAAAGGTCAGTTGAAAGTTGAAAGTCCAGTGGGTTAGTTGTTCAGGACATATATCGTCATCTCGTAATAGGTAATACATTAACAAATGCAAACACTAAAATGTAATTGATCCATGTCTGTATAAACGTTGAATTTACTCTAATCAATAATATTTAAATCTAGTACAGTATTAATTCTACTGTACCATTTTATTAATTTAATCAGCCTTGTATTTCAGTCATTGATCATGTGATAGTATCGATAAACAGACTGAGGCTGATAGAATCGAAACTGAAATCCAATAAAATATTTCTATTCTTAAAGTATCACCACTAGAGTTTTTACAGATGGAACACCAATTTAAACTTCCTATTAAAACATTGGTAAATACCCACAAGGAACCTACACGGAACCAGCCTACAAGGAACCAGGATGATGTTCTTAAATTTAATAATATAATACTGTTCGACAGACAACAATGAATGTTTTCAATTGACACCAATCCAAGGTTGACATTTTTCATCTTTTTCATTATTATTTATTTTAATAAATTCAATACTCTTGAAATTCCTTCATTGTTCCAATTTTTTCTTGCAAATTTGGATCCAGAGGGAGGTAAGGGAGGGTGGGGGTAGGAGGAGAAGTGGAAGGGAAAGGGAAAGGGGAAAGTTAGGATTGGTAGAGGAAGAGAACCAATGAACTTGACAATGACTGTAAAAGTATATCATTACTTGTAAACAGAATATATAATCATATTTTACAGGTCAACAACCAGTAGGCCAAAGCTACAAAAAAATTGCAAGAACATACTGACTGATCAATATGTCTATAAATTCAGTTAACTGTGAATGCTAATTTTGTTCATAACATATTGTAATGCAAATTTTGTGCTGTTAAAGTAAAAACCATCGGTGATAAATACCGACAATGACTGTAAAAGTATATCATTACTTGTAAACAGAATATATAATCATATTTTACAGGTCAACAACCAGTAGGCCAAAGCTACATAAAAAAATTGCAAGAACATACTGACTGATCAATTTGTCTATAAATTCAGTTAACTGTGAATGCTAATTTTGTTCATAACATATTGTAATGCAAATTTTGTGCTGTTAAAGTAAAAACCATCGGTGATAAATACCGACCAAAACTAAATACACCAAATAGTCTAACTTAAGTACAATTCCTTATGTTGTACTTGTATTCTTTTCATCACATAGTTAACACGGAACCATAACCACTTTTAGTAACTTTATTATGTCAGACCTTTCCTCAAAATCCACATCCTGTATTCTTAGAAGCAATGTCATTTACCTTGACAACATAACACTACAGTATCCTTAATACACACAACAATAAAAATACTTACTCATTAAAGTCTATTTTACATATAAATCAGTTTTCAACATTTACTTTAAGTATATTTTACACGTTCACATGAAATAATTAGTTTTCAAATATTGTGATTGGTATTTCTCTGAACAATCATAGTTCATTTTATACCAATAAATGAAATTTAATTCATAGATTGGTGTTTGGTTAAACAATTATGTGGGCACACAACTCTGCTAAAACTGCAGCCTTCTACATATCACACCTTACATAACATTCAAAATAAAAATAAAAAAGTTATCAGGCATGAACGAACCCACTTGCCTGATGCCCAGGACAAGTGTTTTTTACGGTATACGGACATAAACCACCCAGGACATAAACCACCCAATTGGAATATACCATTGTTAAAGTGGGTGGGCAACATAACCTACATTCATTGAATAGACTGATTATTTTATTTTTAGTTATTTTTAGTCATTTTATCTACAATTAATTATTTTGGAAAACTATTTAGAAAACTAAAAAAAATAAAACTTTAAGCACAGTGATTACTAAAATCTACAATGATTACTAACCAACATGCATGTTGTCAGAAGAAATGAATGAATTAAAGGCGTATAATAGGAGTGTACAATAGCAAATTAAGTCCTAATGTAAAGCTAGATAAAAGCAAGACCACCCAACATTGTTCACCCTGTTGCCCACCCACTTTAACAATGGTATATTCCAATTGGGTGGTTTATGTCCTGGGTGGCTTATGTCCTGGGTGGTTTATGTCCTACATTCGTTTTTTACAGTCAGACAAGAATTTTAGGGATAACTTGTCCATGGACGAGCACTTTTAGGGTGCGTTCAGGTGAGTTTTTTGTGGAGTCTAACACGGGATAAATCCGGAAACGGCCATTTCCAGTTCTAGCCCAATGGGTGTTAAAAGCAGACCGCCTACTGATATCCGCTGATACAATCCAACGCTGCAAATTGCAGTGTTTTTGAAGGAGCAAAAGCAGCATGCGTTAGCAGCTTGGAGCAATTTTTATCACTTAATCTTCTTGATTGTTTTAACATGCGCCAGTCTGTTTAAATGTTCATGGTCCTTGCTTCTTTTACAGTTTATTTCCAAAAACAAAACTGAAAAGCTCAATAAAATAAATTATTTCAACTGAGGGCTACCCTAGAATCCAGATTGTTACCTTGTCACGCCACATGCATGATCATGGCACCACTGTTTATTCGTTTAACAGTGGTAGTAATTTTCTGTTTTTAAACTACAATTGTCAAACGAATGAAAGTTTATTAATTGTTTATACGCCCAAAATACACATCTGCAATTTATTGGGAGTTTGCTATGTACACTTTATTATTTTTTTAGCTTCTTCGGTAATTTCATTTCATTCCTCGATTTTGAGACAACTGCATTAATGCAGTGGACCAATACCGAAGTCCGTTTTTTAATTAAAGCGTGGGGTGATGTAGCTGGGTGACGCAAGGTCCAGGGCAACTTGATAGAAACTCATCATTCGCATAATACCTTAGGTTTTACGTCCGAGGTTATTGGTTTTTTTTGAAAGCCAAGTTCTGCACGAACCCGCGGATACAATACCGGTAAGAACCCTATGTAACCTTTTCCCATTCTCGTGCGAACACACCTTTAGAATAGGCTACTTCAGCATGTAATGCATAATGCTTTCACAGTACTTATAAAAAGTCTGACTCTTGACAATACGCACCATATTTTATTAACAAAGTGCCGGTGCACAAAGAGATATCAAACAGAAAACTGACTATGCCATGGTTATGCACCGCACTGCATGCATCAACTTAGTCGCCAAGACTCTATTATTTGATTTATTGAGTTTAAAAGAAAAAATGCCTACTCAATATACTTGAGTTGGGCGACATGAAATGTCTGGACTTCAAGACTAGAAATTACTTTCGAGTACGAATATGATCAGCAGCCAATAGGCCGACTTCAAAAAAGGCCTAGTCTATTTCGTTTGCGCATGTGGATCTAGGCAGATTAAGAAATGGTACTAAAATTGGGATTTAAAGTTGTTAAAGTAATGTAAAAATAATTCACTTTTAAGTGATGGAGATAATTTCAAATGTGGGAAAAATACATTTGAAGTTCTGCAAACGGGTACAAACAATGATATGTCCAACCCCCCACCATCCCCCCCCCAAAAAAAATAACGTCATATAACACAGTCCTGTCAGGGTGTGGCTGAGAACTCGTATATCGTGGAAGCAACTGATTCTATCTAAGTGATCACTTTCGGTAACAAATAAAATGCTGATACACTTCTGTACTGGTGACAGCACCAGTCATCAATCATCTGATCAGGATCCCCTAATCAGATTTGGTGACGGCATCATGAATGGTGATGTCACCGAAACTTATGCTTATACTGATACTTATCATGGATCTATTAGAATCGAGCGGCCCGAGAAATATTTGCATGTAGTTGTCATGACAACGGATTTGAAACACGCAATAAGAAAACGATCAACACACTCCATTGTTTAAAATGTTATTAATAATGTTTCATTTTGTTTGAATTTTTCCATATTATACAAATGTATGAAATTTCCTCATGCCTGATCATGAATAAACAAGAGTAGGGATTGTCTCTATATTCCCACACCTAAAATCTACTCCAGGGTTGTAAAAAATAAAAAAAACAAAAAACAAAAAAAAAACAACCTGTGTATTTCTATACATTCCTTGTTGGAGGCTGTGCTTTCTTCATTTTTTTTACATTTGACAAACTTCAACAATACCCTACTTGATGACAGCAGTATTAATCATTCTCTAAAATGATGTTAAAATTCTCTCCCTCTCCTAAAAATTATCTTTTCCCAAAAAGAGGTATGCATAGGCCTGCTATTGCCTTTCATTTTTGTA